GAAGGGGGGTGAAAAGGAACCCTTTTCTGGAGTCAGGACTCCAAGTGCTGTATTACTCCACATACAAATTGAAAGATTTCTCAAGGTTGGTAAGTTGAGACAACGCTTACTTTAAAATTTCAAATACCTGTTTTTGTTCCATCCCCCAAATGAAAGGTTCCTTTTCACCCCCCTTCTTTTCTCTGGGGTTAATAAAATTTTATTGCCAGAAGCTGAGGGGGAGCTACATAAGGTGTGGATATGCTCCATTCTCAGTGGCTGATTTATATAATTGGAAAAATCAAATTCCTGCTTATAAAGAAAATTCAGATGAGATGCATGTCCTTTTTGCATCAATTTTTCTGAACTCACCAGTCTGCTTGGGCTGACATACAAAGTCCGATGGAAATTTTATTAACCCCAGAGAAAAGAAGGGGGTGAAAAGGAACCCTTCATTTAGGGGCTGGAACAAAAAACAGGCATTTGAAATTTTAAAGTAAGCGTTGTCTCAACTTACCAACCTTGAGAAATCTTTTAATTTGTATGTGGAGTAATACAGCACTTGGAGTCCTGACTCCAGAAAAGGGAAGTGGCAAAACCCCGCAGCTTAGCAAAAGGGAGGTTACGCTAACGCTCATTGCCTTAAAATCCTGGCCGCAAACTGCTCTTCTGATCAATCTGCTGTAACACCACAAAGAATCCCAATTTTTTCGGGTTCTCATCAAATTTTACCCCCAGGGAAGGAGTTTTCCTTTCTAACTGCAGGTTTCGGGGTTGATTTGGAGTGGCCCCCAACCCATGCGCAAACTGGGGGGAGGGTTTTCTGGGTTCCTAGCTGTTGCTGCTGTGCCGTCAGCTTGATCAGCAGGGACCAGAGGGAGGTTAGTTCCCCTGGCGTTACCCCCGTTTGCCACCCTTCCAACGCTTCTCGGTTGCCGGTCTGGCTCCCCCCGGATGTTGAGATTTTCCAAAATTTCCATCACCAACTGAGTTACATGCCTCTTCAGAGGATCCTCTCTCAGCGCAGCTTCATTTGGCTCTTCTTGGTCAGAGGGGGCTTCTAACTCCAATTTCCACCCTGGTTTTCAGCTACCTCGGGTAAGAGTGACTCCCCTGGTCTTCCCTTCTCAGCTATCTTTCGTCCCGATTCCGATTGACCAACAGGGCTTTTTGGGGTCCTCCAAGCTCACTCCGTTCTCTCTGCCAGGATACAAGGAGCAGGTCTCTGGTTTTGGAGGGGCTTCCATCTCCCTCCAGCAGTCAGTTTCCCCTTGTTCACTGTTATGCTCAGATATGGTTTGCTGGGTCCTCTCGGTAGAGTACAAATGTTTCTCTCCTCGTTGACCACTTTGCAGAGAAATGCTGCTTTATGTAATGGCTCCTCTCCTAACTTGAGAAAGTAAAGATTCTTGAAACGGATTATTTCAAAAGGAACCTTTAATCAAGCAGGATGGAAACCATTAGAAGCAAAGCAGCATCTGGAAACTTTAGGCCATGCAAATGGGATTAAGCTGATAATCTGTCCAAATGCAGATTCTGACCAATACACAAGTATGAAGATGCTTCCTTTACTCTTCTGCCCTGGGAGTCAATAAAGCACACGTTCCCATGGCTATCTCTAGTTAGATATCAAAGTTATATATCCCACATGGCTACCATAAACATCCCTCCAAAGATGTTGGGACCTTCAGTCTCCCAGTGACAGGAAACCAATTTTAAAATTGTAAAACTCAGTTGTTTCAGATGTAGCTAATGATTTAACTCCGAGGCTCCCCTCCTCCCAATTGAATGGCAGTATCACTTTTAGGGATCTAACAAGTTTTATATTCTTATTGTTTCCTTATTAATGCAATATTAATTTTCTGTAACTTAAGAAATTAATCTTTCAGATTTTGTTACTTATATTCCACGGAAAATAGATCTGAATGTTTTCAAATTTTTCAAATTTTCAAATTCTTAGTATATTATTCATGCAGTAGTCTTATGATTTAGAGTTTTGTAACCTGTTTGGATGTTTGATTCAATTATTTAACGTCTCACTGATTCATACTTTTCAAAGACTTTTAGCTATTAGCAAATTAATATAGCCGGTGGTGGGATTCAAAACTTCTTACTACTGGTTCTGTGGGCATGGTTTGGTGGAAGTGGCTTGGTGGGCATGGCAGGGAAAGGTTACTGCAAAATCCCCATTTCCTCCTGATCACCTGGGATTCAGGAAGCAGATAATAGGTGGGGGTGGGGTGAACTACTCAAACTTTCCACTACTGGTTCTCCAGAACTGGTCAGAATCTGCTGAATACCACCTCTAAATATAGTTATTACACCATCATAATTTTTCAATTATTAAAATATAGTATTCCAACTGGAATACCATAAACGTACAGCATAATTTTACTTATTAAAACATATAACTATAGCAACCAGGCTGAATTTACTAATATATTATCATATCAGTGAATTATTTTTTTCATTGTTTATTTTATTATTCTATTATTTTACTTCTGTTTTGCTTATACTCTTTTCATTTCCTTTTTATTGTTGAAAATTGATTACCTCTTGGCAAGATAAACAGCAAATAAATTTAAAAATAAACAAATAGTGTTATACTTCACAAACCTTAACTCAGATCCAAAGGAACACCTCTTAATAGGAGAAATTTTCTTTAGTAATTTTTTTTAATTTAATCAATATAATACCCTAAAGAGCACATATTTGGTTCAAAAAATCAATTTTGGTTCAGAAAAAAATGCTTGGCTTTTATTTTAAGCAATATCCATATTCTTAATCAGTATCTGAAAATATGCTGTTAATTTGATTCTGCCTCCTACTGTGTCAGAAATTTTATGTATAAAAATCACGTTAATACATAATGCATATATTGATGAGGAATAACTGAATTTCACCCCATAGCTTTCATGGTTCTGTTAAGATATTTTGGTATCCCATGAAGGCAATGTCTATAAGCCCATCATTTTGGCTACCAAAATAGACAACATTTCCATTTTTTTAAAAAAAAAATAGACATTAGAAATTCAATTATAATGTTTTATTAACCAGCTTTAATTAAGCACATGATACATGCTCTCAGAATTCATAATTCAACTTTAGTACTTTTTTCTACCTAAAGGAAAAATGATAATGATTTTTAGAAATGCTTCTTTATGAACCTAAAAGGTGCTAAAAATTGAGTTAAGAAATTCTCCTTCAGAAGAACTTATTCCGCTTTCTTTCCCCTGTATCTATATGTGCCTTAATTCTTCCTATGTTAAGTGATAAATAAACGATCTTGCAGTGAGTACCATTAGGTTGCAACAGGCATAGCAGGTTGCAAAACAGTGAAACTTGGAGAAAAATTATGTGAGCAGAAGTCCATTTGTGTAATGTTGGATTTAGTTCATTATGGAAAAGCATATTGATATATTTTGTGTCATTTTATATTGTAACATTAAAATACCAAATTTATGTTCTCCACATTTCTGTAACTTTTACCATGAAATCTAAAATATATTTGTCTAAAGAAATAAAACTTAAAATAGAAGAGTGTTGTCCTATAAATGTTTAAAGGAATATAAAAAATTATTTAAAAGAAGATAATAAATTCTAAATCATATTTCTTTCTAAAGGTTATAGAAGAATAACATAATACTACTGCTCAAATATATCAAACAATCTATAATACATTAACTATTATTATACTGACATCATTGGAAAAACACTTTAGAGAATTAAAGCACCAGCAATGTGTTTGAAAGTCAGAGCATATAAAATCAAGCATCTATAATTTGCCCAATTCATCTATTGATCATATAACCAAAAAGTTTTTATGAGTAATGCTAAGGATTATTTTCATCATTTGAATTTAATATATACAGTATACAGCTGTACAAAAAAAACCTGTAACTGATGGATGGTGAACTTTTTCTTTTTAACTAGGAGAAATTGACTACTATTTTATAACTTAAATACCCAGGAAATACAGTAGATACAATTGTTTTAGCCTCTTCCTTTTCCTTTGATAAATTGTGTGAGAGAGATTCAAGGAAGGACAGCCATTGCAAAAGGTCTATCCATTTGTGAAATCAAATGTAGTCAAAAACCTATCCATGAAAATGACGGCAATTTATGCTTGATCTGTTTGATTGCTTCAATAATCTATAGCAGCAGCAACACAATGAGTAAAATTATTTAAAAATATAAGTTTGTGGTAATCACTGGAAAAAGAAAGTTGGTGTTTTATGAATTTTATTTAAAAAAACTGTACATTGTGAAAAATAACCAGTTTTACCACTCCTCCATACAATTTTTCATAGGAACATGATTTTCACATTCTTTTTTCTTGTTAGAATCGAGGAAAAATATGACAAATAAAGCAAAAAGATTTTGGAGCTGCAAATTTTGAATTAATGATGAAGCTAAATTGAAAACATATGCAACGTGCAATGCACACACAATCACTCCACCAATTCAATGTTAACTCTTATCTACATAGGCACATTTTCTCCAGAATGATCTACCCCAACCTATCTGTTCCACATATTTATATCTGTATCTATATTATCTTTATCTTTACATACATACATGCATGCATGCATGCATACATGCATACATACATACATACATGCACACACATACGTTTATATCTATACACATTAAACAGTACATATATAGATATCAGCATTTGTACAATAAAAAAATAAGCAATCATACCTGGATGCTTTTAGAAACATTTGGATCATCAGTTTCTACTCTTATTTTAGCTAAAGTTTGTTCTATTTCAGTTAGCCAGAGGTTAAAATTCTTCATATCATGATGGAAATTTCTCCATTTTTCCAATGATTTGTCAAATTTTCTGTAGAAAAAAGCAAATTCTATTAAGAAATTAGCATATTGCAAGCAACATTCCAAAAAATCAAAAAGTTATGTTATTAGTAATAATAATAATAACCTCACTGTTACTTTAAAAATTGAAAAGAAATTAAAGAAAGTTTGTTAAATTTGGTGTTGGAAAATGATGTTGCAAAATTTAGAGATAAATGAATGCCACAAAATAAATATATGATATTTATGTTTCAACAGATACAAAAATGTACACATTTTCCTGCTACTCTGTGAACATCTTTTATTTAAAATGTATATTTATAAAATTAAAATGTGAATAATTTTTATCTCTCTCTACAAGAATCATGTAGTGAATTTTTTAACATTTGTCTATGTAATAAAATGAAAAAAAAAATAAGGAAACAAATGTAATTTCTCCTCATTTCTAATAGAGATTCCAGTCCACATCACCCTAACACGTATTTCTATTCAAAGAAATGTATTCAAAACTAAAGCATAACAATTACCTATTGGGCCCATGTAGTTCCACCTCACTGACAAAAAGCTTGGCCATGTTAAAAATGTGATGTAAAGCAGATATTTAGTCTAATGTTTCTGATCTAGCTTGACTGTTCTCACAGTCAGCTAATTTCATACATTGTGCATTTGTACAAAAGCAATACTATATAATCTAGTAAATTATAAAATATGATAAATTAATTTCTGGTCAGCTTAGGTCCCTATTAGTTATCCTTTTCCCAATCATTTTTATGCAGATGTGCATAAGTTTAAGTTGTTCTTAGTTACTGAGACAGGTTTGTTTTCAACTCCTTGTTGACCATGGGTTGCATAACCCAGAATTAGGATGGCTGTAACCCTATTTGCCACTTCACGGATTACTGCCTTGTCATGGTGAAGGAGATTGCATAGTTCAATGAAGTTATGAGCTATGCCATGCAGGGCCACCCAAGATGGACAGGTCATAGGAGAGAGCTCTGATAAAACATGACCCACTGGAGAAGGAAATGGCAATCCACTCCAGTATTTTTGGCATGAAAACCCCATGGACAGTACCAAAAGGCAAAAAGATATGATGCCGGAAGATGAGCCCCTCAGGTTGGAAAGTGTCCAATATGTTACTTGGGAAGAGCAGAGGGCTAGTAGTGCCAGAAAGAACAAAGTGCCTGGGCCAAAGCCGAAATGATGCTCAGCTGTGGATGTATCTGGTGATGAAAGGAAAGTCTGATGCTGTAAAGAGCTATACTCCATAGGAACCTGGAATGTAAGATCCTTGAATCAAGACAAGCTGGATGTGGTCAAACAAGAGATGACAAGACTGAACATCGACATTTTAGGAATCAGCAACCTAAAATGGACAGGAATGGGTGAATTCAATTCAGATGACCATCAGGTACACTATTGTGGGCAAGAATCCCTCAGAAAAAATTGAGTAGGCTTCATAGTCAATAAAAGAGTAGGAAAAACAATATTGAGATACAATCCATAAAATGACAAAATGATCTCAGTTAGCATCCAAGGCAAACCATTCAACAGCACAGTAATCCAAGTCTATGGCCCAACCACTAGTGCTGAAGAGGATGAAATTGAATAGGGGTTCTATGAAGCCCTGAAGCACTTTATGAAATTAACACCAAAAAACAATGTCCTTATCATCATGGGGGATTGGAATGCTAAAGTAGGAAGCCAAAAGATAACCGGAATAACAGGCAAGTTTGGCCTTGGAGTACAAAATGAAGCAGAGCTCAGGCTGATAGAATTTTGTAAAGAGAAAAAGATGATCATAACACTCCAAACAACCCAAGAGATGACTCTGCACATGGATATCATCAGACAGTCAACACAGAAATTAGATTGACTATGTGCCCTGCAGCCAAAGATGGAGAAACTCTACACAGTCATTAAAAACAAGACCAGGAGCTGACTGTGGCTCAGATCACGAACTTCTCATTGCAAAATTTAGGCTTAAATTGAAGAAAGTGGGGAAAAGCACTAGGCTACTGAGGTATGAATTAAATTATATCCCTGAAAAATATACAGTAGAGGTGACAAACAGATTTAAGGAATTAGATCTGATAGAAAGATAGATGACGTTGGAGGTCATCTAGTCCAACCCCCTGCTTAGGCAGGAAACCCTACACCTCTTCAGACAAATGGTTATCTAACATCTTCTTAAAAACTTCCAGTATTGGAGCATTCACAACTTCTGGGGGCAAGTTGTTCCACTGATTAATTGTTGTAACTGTCAGGAAATTTCTCCTTAGTTCTAAGTTGCTTGTCTCCTTGATTATTTTCCACTCATTGCTTCTTGCCCTACCCTCAGGTGCTTTGGAGAATA